TAATAAATATGTCAGACATCTGGGGGGTGCCAGGCAGCAGTAGGAGATATGAGTCTGAAATCTAGGAAGGAGTCTGGGCTAAGGATATAAAATTGGGAGTCACTTTCATAAAGATTATATTTGAAAGCTAGCAGACTGGATAAGATCACCAAAGAAGCTAAGTACAGAATGGAAAAAGAAGAGATCTAAGTAAGTAAAGGGGAGCCCTGGGGCACTCTGACAAGAGAGCAGGAAGGAGGGAGAACCAGCACATGGACCAAGAAGGAGCTGCCGATGAAGATGTAAGCCAACAGTAGGTTGTGCCCTTGGAGCCTAGTAAATTATTTCTGAAGGAAGAGGGGATAAGCATGTCGAATACTCTTTGATAGGGAGAGTCGACCATTCATTGAGCAAGGGGAAAGTCAGTGATGATCTGGACACGACCAGTCTGGGGGAGTGGTGCGGGCCCAGTGAGTCTAATAAGGAATGGGGGGAGAGAACTGGAGCAGTTCCCTCTGTCAAGTTTCACCAGAAAGGTAAGCAGAGACAGAAGGCACAGTTGAACAGTTGAGGTATCTTTTGCTTAAAAAATGGGAGAAATAAGAGCATGCTTGTGTGCCGAAGGGTTAGTCCCAGTTGGAAAATGTGATAATGAGGAGAGGGGCTGTGATCTAGTGCTGGGTGGGAACAGCGCACTGGGACAGAGACCCAGATGGTACCCAGCTGCCAGCCTTTATAGCAGAGCCCACTGCCTCCAGATGGACCGTGCTGTACACGTGAGGAAGAAACCCAACACGTTCCATTTTCCTGCTAAGAATTATGAGCATTTAATGCTACTGTCTCTGAAGGGAATGATGCAAGAGGGGCGAAAAAAATCTCCTTTAATAGATTAGAAACAAGTTTAGATGACTTACCAAGATCATGCATGCATAAGCTCTCTGAGAACAAGTTTTGGAGAACAAGCTATTTGAGTAGAAAAATCTTGACTATTTTGCATGTCTGACAACCTCACAACATTTTCAGCGTTGCCTAAATGGTATTGTATGTTCTTATACACGTTTAAAACTTCGGTCTAGCGTTACACAACAATTTCTGTTTTTTCCCTTAAAATATATAGGTCCTCATCAATTTTCTCAACCTCTTTTATATCTCATGTTCCTTTTCCCTCACTCCTCCCCACCACGTGAGACTCACTGGCCCATACTCCATAAATGCCAGGATGCTCAGATGCTGAGAACGCTCCACTCACATCTTTAAGTTAAATCAACTTTCAGGCTATGAGGATCCCAAGTGTCCCAAAAACATTACTGGTTTTAGGCTCAGGAAGAAAATTATTAATGGTGATGTTTCAAGAGAAAGTTTAGTCTGAAAACTAAATTTAATTGTATTATACAACTTAACATAAGACATTAATTTTATTGTTTTCCTAAGTGCGTGTGATTATCTGGAATATACAATCAATTCTACCAATTTATTATAAAGAGCACTAATCCTGTTTATATGTATATTTTAACGAAAATCTTACTGTATGTGATAGTAAAGGTTACAGATGATAAATGTTAAGAATTCAGAAAGGTTCATTTGGGTTTTGATGAACTACCAACTTTCAGTATCTCAAGGTTAAGTGTAATCAGTTCTCTACTCTGTCCTAAATTTCCATCTATGGCTAGAATCTGAGTGCTGAAGTTTACATACTAAATCACTCAACCTATTGGTCTAAGAGGTAATGGCTCTAAAATGTCAGTGGGCCAAAGAATCGCCTGAGTGCATTTAAAATGCAGATGCCTGGGCCCCGCTCACAAATATTCCAATAAAGTGGGACTGAGCTAGAACCCAGGAATCTGAATTTTTACAAGTGCCCTCATGGAGAAAGAAAGGTATTAGTAAAGACTTGAAGAAGGTAAGTGAACGAGACACAAGATGCTATAGAAAGCACTACTCAAAGGGTTTTCCCTGGGCAAGCATGAAACATTCTACTTTCAAGCCCCTGACAGGTTTAAACTATTTGTCCCATGATGAAACCACCCACTGCAGAGAACCCTGCAGCACTGGTCACAAATCCCTGGTTCTCCGAGGTTCCAGTTTTGGAGTCAGAAAAACAGGGTGATCCTTGCTCAGGCTTGTATGCAGACTGCACCAGGCTGCAGAAGGGACCAGCTGCCACTCCCAACCTGTGCAGAAACATCCCCCTTGTCTTTTCGTGGAGTGCTTCTTTCTGCTTATGAACCCAGACACTTCTAGAAGACAGCTGTGGTCTCCCATGTAAACTGCGCTTCTCCAGGAGACCGGAGCTCACAGGAGCAGGAACTGCAAGCCTCTTTCTCACCCTGACTTCCTGACTTCATCCTTAATGCAACATTATATTAAGTGTCATTAAGAAATATAATTAAAGATCCTATCTCTGCTGTCAATTTACAATACTACCTACAAAGATGATGAAATGAGCCAGGACAACACAGAAAAAAGTAGCAAACTTTTTTTTTTTTCTTGTGGAGAGCTGTTTTCTAACTTTAGAGGCCGTGAAAAGTGGCAGCAGGGCCTTTTGCCTTTGAGCAAAAACTGCTTTCGAGAACAACTGTATTTCATTTCCTTTGGTACTTTTATTTACAAAAAAAACAATGAAAGGCAGGAAGGTAAAGTGACAACCCTGAAGCTCTTTGTCAAATTATGAGTAGAAATTATTCTCTGTGGCCCACTGTGTCCTATTCGAGAGGTGGAAAGGAATTTAAAAAACACGTCATAGTTTGTCATTGTGCCTGCCCTTGAAGGGACTTACATTCTTCTTGGGAAGATGGGATAAAATGTATCAAAAGATAGACAAGTTACAGAACCAGAGATCACTTAAGATGAGGGACTTAAACTGGACCTCGAAGATTGGCAGAGAGTAAGAAGGCTGGGGAAAGGCGTGAGGCAAAGTGCACGGCTTATAAGCAAGCAATACAAGCCCAGCCTCGCTGAGGTGCCTGGTCCAGCAGGCCTGCCCAGTGGGAGACGGCAGCTAGCCAGAAGCCTGGGAGCCATCCTGGGGAGACAGACAGCCCTGGACGTCAAGTCAAGGAGCTCAGAATCTGACAAGTAAGAACATTCAAAGAGTTTCACACAGTGCAGTCTTTGGGGATGTTAATCTGTTAGAGATGGAGATGTGGTAGGATTGATGGGAACAGATGGTACTTGGGGGCAGTCAGAAAGCTACCAGAAAAACCCAGATCCCGGGTGGTGGAGACCCAGAGAGTAGCAGCACTAATTATTACTAGTTTTATAGGCTAGTTTCATAAAATCTAACGAAACTGAGTTGTGCTACAGATGTAACATCAAGATTTTTCAAAGGATGGTATCAAAATGAAAATTTGGGAGGCATGTGATTGTTCTGAAACCTTCCCAGTAATCGATCATTTTTATGATCGACATTATGAAAGGGAAAGAAACATTATTGTTTTTACATTTTACTTAAAAGACTGTGACTTGTACTTCACTTTCCATGTCCAGTCAGTTCTGCATTGTGCTTTCAGGCACTGCCCCCAAACCGTCTTCAGCCTACTAATAGAGAGAAATCTGACTTCAAAAGGGTTCAGGAATTTCAGGAAAATGAAAAGCTTGGCTTACACTTAAATACTGGAAACTCCCCAAACTTGGCAGTGATCTTTTAAGTGTTCCAGATCACCTATTGTTCAAAATGCTAATGGATGAGTTCCTAATTAATCATCTTACAAGTAGAAGAAAACCTGTTTAACACTCAGAAGCAGAACTTCCCCGATTCTATCAAATAGCACATTCCTAGAGGAACAGCCTCTAAAGAAGCTGGTGTGAGTACCAAGATTTTGAATGAGCAGTAACCAAATGCCTCTAATTTATTACAGATGACTGCCTGGGAAGAGAGACAAATTGTTTAAACGTAATTTTTTTCTATTATTCTTGCGTTTGGGGCATGTCAAGGATGTGGACCATCTTGGACATGTCCATGTGGAAACAGCACATTCTATTGCCCATAGCCAGGCAAGCCTCATTGCAGTGATTCCTCTGTCTGAACTAGAAGAACTCTGTTTTTTTTTACAGCTTACTTCTTGAAAACAGAGTAAGGTATTGCCAGTCCTAAGTTTTCATTCTGACCTGGTGTTTTGTAGCAACCCCTGTGTGATGTTGTTGCACCTTCTTTCCAGACTGAAGAAAATCTTTTTAAAAAGAAGATGTAGCTAAATAAGTGCTTCCCCCCCCCAATCCATCTGTTCACGAGTGTATGTGACATTCAGGATCACTAGTGGATCTCTGAATCCTAAATACTCAATAACACATAGACTCTGGACTGTTCTCATCTGCAGCACAACCCACATGAGGGAAAATGTTTCTTTGGCCTCCCAGTTTCAAGAGAAATCATTGTTCCCTGTACTGATTTTCATAATCACAGAACAAGAGAAATACTACTCTCAGGGTTCTCTTCCTGTTTGGAGATCAATGTGTCTATAAGCTTTGAACCTTCTCTATCATGGTTAAAGCACAAATTCTCCACAACTCAGATGGGCAACATGTAAAATACAACTCTGTTAATTGATCCTTTGCCTTAAGGGATGTTAGGTATTGCTTTAGGGTTTTTGGAAGACATATTGCAAGACAGAACTGGCCCCTAACATCGTGTGTATTAGCCTAAGAACACTGGGATGAATTCATAAGGTAAGTGCCTAGGAAGCATAAAACTCACATCCATGTTACATGCTCAATATTATATTGGGGGGAATGACTTCAAGTTGGAAGTTTTTGTTCTTACAAACATTTATTTTCTTCCAAATTTACTGTGTTTCTGTAATGCTGTGAAAAGTCTTCATTTCCCTTTTCCCAAGCGTTGAGGTTCAAAAAGCCAGCTCTCAACTCTAGACTAATCGTCATCTCTTCAGTGTCTTGTATGTTGCCTTAGTTTCATATGTAAGTATTTATATCCGTTTTCCTCAAGGATTTATACACCAATATATATATATATATATACACACACATATATATATATATTCCTACACAGATATACACAAGCCTTGTGTCCTCACCTTACCACTTGACAACACAACTTTAAGTATGTTTTACACAGCTGTTCCTTGGTCAAGGTCATTTGCAAGAGCAAGTCGGTTTCTGAAGAAATCTTGTTTGGTGGGTGAAGGATCCATTGAGGGATTCTCATTAGTTTTTTCCCTGTATTCTGATCCACTGGACCTAAAATCTCAGCACACAGATAAAGTACAGGTTGATTTGGTTTTAATTGTTTTCAGATATTTTATCCAAATTGTTTTGCATTTGTAAAACAGTTGTCTCTTAGATCTGGAATAATTTTTACTTCCCTTCAATTTCATGACTCAGGACATGTATAACTAAACTTTGCAATGAACATAAAGAGAATATCTCTCTAATGCTTTATGGAGACAATTGTGACAACTGTGTATGTTAGTGTAAGATATTGTGTATAATGTTGTAAAAGGGAAATAAAAGCTCAGAAAATTTAGGAAATCCTATTTTTGATTCAACCAAGTAACTACTCCACAAATTACCAAGGCCCTTAAATTAAAATGGATGGAATTCATTCTTCTCAACCAAGGTTATCTATCAAGGGCCATTACTGAATTTGGGCATTACATTACAAACTCTTGCTTTTGCTTGTTTTCATTTTTAAATGAAAGATTTATTGAAGCCAACCACACATATATGCTACATTTGATAGAATGCAGAAATTAGTACAGTAGTCAGATTGAGGAGATTCTATAATCTCAACCACCACAAAGGAGACCAAGCCCAATCAATAGTCAACAACTCAAATCAGTCCAATTGAGTCCCCAGTCGAGGGTGCATTCTTCCTTTATCTTGGTTAAGCCAGTTGGGTAATCCATTCCAGCTCTGCACCTTCTCCAGTTTGTTCATGTCAGAAGTCCCTGGAGGGAGGAGGCTTTCTGGAAATAACCTCTGATAAGCTAGGCTGGGGCCCTTTGGCTAACTTAAACTCTGGGCTAGAATGGGTAGAACTAGCCCACTGACTAAGAACCAATATCAAAAGACCTCATGCAGGATGTATGGAAGTGATATGAGACATGAAGTTCTTTGTCCAAAGCTCCTATACAACTGAACAAGTTCTCCATATGCTGAGGCAGAATCAGGCATCCTTCCACTATCCACAAAAGAAGGATAAGTTCTTTTACGGTCTTTGGTATGCTACGAGTCCTCACAGTTGTTGTTAGATAAGTTAATTGTGACTCTATCATTTACTGAATTAATTGGGCAGAATTCAAACATCCCTTTACATTATTCAAGGAAAGAAGTTGGATCCACACAAAAGACTAAAATCTTGATGTCTGGACACCTAATGACTGACTGGATTTTTTTATTATTCACCCTGATACTTGGTACCACAGATGAAGCCAGAGCTGCCCACCATGTTTTCTACTTTCGGTCAGGAAGAAGCACTTTTCCACTACACCCCAGTGCACAGAAGAAAAACTATTCTTTCTCTCAACACCAGTCCATCTGCATACTCATCCGATAAGATTATATCTTATCTGGTAGGGTGAAAGTCCTTTTCCTTTTCAGAAGCCCCCTTGGAACTCTCCCTTGAAACAGCCTCCACATGCCCCACCCTAAAATGCCACGCCTTCTCTCAACTCAGAGTTCCCACCTACCTACAATGCAAATCATCCCTGGTTAGTACAGTTATGCCCAAAATGTTAGGAAGATATATTTTTGACAATTTTATTCTTTCCCCATATCTTCTATCCAGAAGGCTAGAAATGCCTATAGTTTTGGGGGTGGGAAATAAGAAGCAAGATTTGAATCTGGCTGGTGTTTCTTCTGAATGGTTCCCCCATATGGTGGTTTCTCATCAGAAAATCATTAGTCAAAACTTAAAATCTTTACCTCACATTTCCCCTCTTAGCTGCATCTGATCTCTCCAAAACCCAATATGTCATACTTTGATGGTTCCAACATGCAACTGTTTAGTGTTTACCTGGAAATGGGAAAGCTTTGATGTCACCACCAGCCCCAAGGACCACAGAAATCTTCACCAGTTGCGTTCCCATTTCTGAAACAAATGCCAAAATCGCCCTGTCTAGTTTTCAAAGTCCACAAACTCAGCTTAGTATTTTCTTTTTTTAACCGCTCTTCTCAAAAACCACTTTCTCTGTGTCTCCAAGTATGTGAATTTCTCTGCATTTCTTGATATTAACTATTAATTAACTAATGACTAACTTGCCAATCCCTTTCAAAATCCAGCATTCTACTGTAGCCATGACTATAAGCTTATTTTTATCCTTTTAAAGATAATTTTAACCGACCCCTTTGCAATGCTTAAATAGTATGTGGCCACTTGGACTCTTCAAATGTGTGGCTATTAGGCTTTGAAGTAATGTGTACATAAATTACTGGGAAATAACCTGCAGAATCTAGGAGAAGGGCCAGTGTATTTGCTTTTATTCCCTTCATCTATAAAACAGAAATGGCTTTTGAGCTCCTGGGGCCATTTTGGTCGACTGCAGGGCAAATCTGAGCAGACACTAGAGGGACAGGCAGGCAAATGCTTGCTGGATAAGCATACAGTGGCTGCCAGGACATCCTGACACATAGCAATCCAAGTGCTTGATGGAAAGAGAATAACCTGTTGCTATGTTTCCTTCCACTCAGTCCACAGAGACAAAGAAAATAAAGCTGGGTAGATCATACAAGTATAGATCTGCTACAAATAAGCCTTGCGAGTGTATTTGGAGCTGGGGAAAGGAGGAAGGGGAAGTATCCAGTGCCGTGGAACCCTCTGACCTAAGAAGGGCTGGTTTTCTGATTGGAAAGACTGTCTGCTATGAAAGCTTTAGGAGACCTGCACATGGAAAAGGAAGGGAGCAGGGAACACCCATTCTGTCGCCCAAATCAGTCAGTCCTGGTAATCAACAGGGTGACAAATGAGCATTCATATACTGTATGTTTGTTGAGTGCTTACTATGTTCTAGGTACTAAGCCTTCAGCTAGGTTACCCTTACCTTTCAACTGTAAGCTTCTAATGGGCTACAACTGTCTTTTACTTCTTTTGTGCTAGACAGAACCTAGTACCCTAAAGACCCTTAACTTAGTGATGGATTTCAAATGACCTATCAAGACACATTTGTAATGAGGTTTAAGTCATCTAAAATGTTACGTCTTCAGTCATCTCCTTTAATTTTGAAGTGAGGTAGGGAAATGAGATGAGAGAGGAGCCCGGAGTGGGTAAGAAACGGGAGAAGGACTTGAGATAGGTTGTGAGGAGGTAAAGAAGAAGGTTAGGTGTAAATGATCAATTAGGTCTTTAGTAGTCCTGCTTTCTCTTACATGCTCTGTTCCATAGCCGAGGCTGGGCATATACAGAAACAGCTGATAAGACACCAAAGAAGAGGACTCAGGGATGTTTGGTTACATGGGGCCCTGTAGAAGTATTCTGTGTGTGTGTGATTAAGAAAACAGAGAGATTTTGATGTGATTGGTGCAGGGAGGGGATGATGTAGGAAGGAGACAGTCTAAGGCATATAAGTTATAAAATGTTAAAGAGGAAGAGAATGGGTGAGGAAGCAGAATTAATCATTTGGAAGCCATATTTTTTATCCCACTCCCCCAAATTTGAGGATAAAAAGAGCCTCTATACTCTCTAGCCCTAAACTGTCTCACATAATCCTCTTCCTCCATGCCACACCCCCAACCAAGAATACTTACTAAACTAAGTGCAAGATTTATATATAAATATAAAGTAGCATTTGCCTCACACTCCAGAGTCGTCTAGATGTAAGTCTTGAACGGCCTCCATATACAGCCTTCCAGAATGGGACAGTTTGCCTTACTCCCCACTCAAAGGCAGAGAGGTAAGGATTCAGTCCAGCATCAACCTATCACATTGGGTCTGTTCCTGGCTTCTAAGGTCTTCATTTAGGAGTTTTTTTTAAGTCACTTAACATTTTCAAGCTTTAGATATATAGTCTTTATTCTGATCAATTCTGGGCAGCTTTCAGGGACATGTGACCTGGTATCTACCCAGGACAAATGTGCCTGAGACAGAGATAATCAGAGCATCATCCTTTTCCCCAAATATCTTGGGCACTTTTTGGGATTTTTTTTTTTTTAATGATGTCAACTTGATCTCCCTTTTGAATCCTTGTGGGTCTGAGCATTCGGCCCTCCCAGCCTCAGAGGGAAGAGAACCCTTTCTCAGGTTTTCTGTTGCATCTGGCTCCATGCCTAGCTTCATCCCGAAGCAGCACTCTGGGTGTGTGGGGCCACCAGCCAAACAAGCCCCTATGGATACAAAAAGGGTGTCAGTGTAGACAGGAATGAGCCTCCAGAGGGCTGTGGGGGGAGGCAGGCAGCGAGCCCCAAATGTGACACAGGTGGTTTTTCTGGCACGAGTCCATTTTGGACCTCTGAGGCCAGGTTGTGGCATGGTTCCAGTACCCCGGATTAACCACTTCTTAAAGTCACAGGGCTTGCTGCCAGCCTGACTCTCGACACATGGGAGGAGAATGAGCTAAATGTCTCTTTCCGGTTCCTCCCTGGATCTGTCCACTTGGTGGACAGTCATGTCCAGTCATGCCTGACTTCAGAGTGCAAGTTCCTATGTAACAGCTGGGACTATGTATGTCATTCACGATTCCTATACAAGTGTCCCATACAGCACATGCATAGAAGAAAGAAGGCTTAACTACTGAGAAGAATGGTGCATTCTCAACTGAGTTAAGAGCCGCTGACCTTTCTGTGCTATTCTGGGACCTTCTTGCCCTTGCTCTCTATCTTAGCATAATGGAGCAAATGTTCCATGGTTCTTGCATGAGAACACTCAGGAGAAGCTACTCAGGCTGCTTCTTTATCCTGTGCAGAGTCCCAAAGCGCCCACTGCAGCTCCCTGACCCAAGGTGATACGCAAGTATCACCTGGTGGTGCTCACAATCCTACCCCAGATGTTCAAAGCCAGGAAAGCCTGCCAGAGGGAGCAGCTATCTGTGTGGCACCCCCTTTATGTCCATTCATATACCACTTCAGATTTTAAATACAAAGGCAGCAGCAGGGTTGGTGGCAGCTTTGTGATTGATGCAGGAGAGCCTGATCTATGAGAAAGGATAAGAGGAGTAAGGAGACCCATTTAAACCTCTAAGAAGGATCTCGAAAAGGTGCAAGAAGACTGAAAGCAATTAACCAACATGAATTTAGAGAGTCCACAGCTAGTCCTCAGCATTGTGCCAAGGGCTGGGGGCGGGGGTGGTGGTGGTGGGAGGGCTACAGAAAGGTAAAATCAGGTCTTCCACATGGTGAGTCTTTAAAATTATAGGTCCCAACGCCATATTAATTTCTTGTTCCAGGTGTTAAAAAGATGTGATTACTCAGATTGATCTAAAACAAAGCCAAAGTACAGATAAAGCAAATCTCAGCACTAGAAAGGACTCAGGTGCTTATCTTGGGCAGTTTCCCACTCAGTGCAGGAATCCCTTCCATTAGCATCCCTGACCAGGGTCATCTAGCTTCTACTCAGGAGAACCCACTCCCTCATGAGGCAGCCAGCTCCAGTTCCAGTACCTGCATTTTTAGAAAGTTCTTCCTCTTACCCACTACTCCTAGTTCCGCCCCCTTGATACAGGGAGGACAAGTCTACTCCCTCTGCCTCAAGTAACTGGCAGAGCATTTTCTTACATTGCTCTGAAAAATGGGAATTTGTGAAGGAACCAGCGGTGAATCCATGGCTCACTGTTTTCCGACAGACCCACTCACTATAAATGGCAGTGGGCAAAAAGTGGCTCTTTGTTTGGGAATACTGTGGTCTAAAAAAAAGATAGGCTTAAACAGTGCCTATCTTAGGAGTCTTTTAGAAGGACTCAGGAGCCTAAATCCTAAGGTTAGGCTGGAGGGTTGTCTGCTTCCAGGTTTCTCCACCCTGGTCAAACATGACAGAGGTAGGCACTGGGCCAAGAAAAATCTAATCTATGAACGTAGAGAGGGATAGGAGTCTTAACTCCTCACCCCCTGCATAAAGGAATCTAGCAATAGACATGCGTGCCTTAGCAAAACTGAAAGAGGACTTTGTGGAGTAGTACTGTGTCTAACTGCAATACTCTTGCTCTCTGCCCCTTCCTCATTCTCCCAGTAACAACAGGCAGGGACCCACACTCACAGATCCTCTAATCTGGGTACCACCCTCCCCATGGGAGAAAAATTAGACAAACCTTCCAAAAAAGTCCTCACTCCAGGCCTGCCCCCTTCCATTGAGACCATTATCTAAATCAGCCAGTAACTTCTACCCTCAAGGAGAAAGTGATGTCCCTCAACTTCCTCACTTATCAGCAACTCTCCAAAGGCAGCTATAGTGTCTTTAACTTTTCCATCCACTAACTGTTTAAAACTGACTGCAAGAACCTACTCTCCCAAGAGAAACTAAGTAGCAGGGAAAATCTCTCTAAGGGAGGGGGAGGTGGGGCGTGAGGACCAGTGGAGATAAGAGACAGTAGTCTCCCAGGCAGGCAATGGCTAGACTGGAGAATCCCTCTCAGGTCAAATGCTAAATGCTCAAATCTTTCTTCCCTACATTTCATGCTGGGGTTTGGCCACCACCTCCCAGTCTATAAGACAGTACTGATAAGTGCTGGCCAAAATGCCTAGTGGGTGATTTCCTACAACAAAGACTTAAAGTCTTAGAAGGACCACAGAAGGGAAATGTCTTGTTTTGGCCTCTTATGGAGTATGGAAACTCCATTAAAGTGATTTTTTTAACTAGGGCCCAAGTCAAATCCATTCCATCATTTCTGCTAAGGAAAACACTAGCAAAAGTCCCAATAAACATGTACTATAAACATATAGTTATCCAGGGTAACTATAGACTCCTACAGGCAGAAATGCTGAGATGCCTTGGAAAACTTTCCACAGGTGGGGAGATTTGGATGGAGCACCCATTACACCCAACTCCAACAGTGGATCCCAGGCCTCCCCGTCTAAAAGGATTTGATTGTCACCGGCTCATTACCCTGGGGACCTCCTCGGCTTACTCTTCTCAGACACATGACTTTGGGAACAAGGAAGTGGAGCTAAAAGAGGCAGAGACAGGGCTGAGTTTGCTTTTACTCTAGGAGATTACAGTGAGAACTCATCACCTGACGGGATTCAGGGTTCCCGGCTACTGGCTGCAGGCACTGAGCTTGAAGCTGTTGTGTGAAACCAGGCTACTTAAACCTTATTACTGTTAAAACCTCCAGACTTAGCCCAAAGGGAAATGAGTTACAATGCTGTCTTGTCTAAGGGCTACTCACTTCTTTTTAAAGAGCTTGCGGAAGGAGCTGCGAAAGCCCCCTTTCTGGTCTTGCCTGGGGTTTTGATCGCTGAAAGATGTTTGTTCGCTTTCTCTTTCTTCCTTTGGACAGAATCTGGTGGTGTCTTCTAAATGCATCTCCTGAAAATACAAAAGAGGGACGTTTATTTACTCTTTCCAAAGTTAACCTTATCCTGACTGGGACAATTTTTTTTTTAACTTTGTCACTTTCCTCTCCCACCCCAAAGACTAATGGTGAGCACCCTATTCCAACTAAAGCAAACCTAGGCTAGTTAAGAGATGAGGAGTTGAAAAGAGGATAACCTGCTGAGTGCAGAAGTATTTTGTATGTATCAAGGCAAACAGTCTTAGAGTAGGTTTATGGTATAAAAATAATTAAAGATCAGGACATAAGGGGAGTTAGCCAGTATCTAAAGGCCATGGAGACTAACTTCTTATTCTGGCACCAATCCTGTCTTGCTGGAAAACAAGTAGGGGGCCCCTCTCGTCTCTGGGAATGTTTTCTCTTTCTACAAAATATGACAGTTCCTTCATTGTAATGCTAGTTTTAAACTCATGTTCCTAACTCTCCATTTTAGACATAAAGAAGGGAAGGAGGTTTTGCAGGGTCAGATCTGTTTAGAAGTAGGTGCCAACCATGTCTATATGGGCACATACACGCACGTGTCTATGTGTACC